AATTACACACATGTCTTTTTAACACACTTGTTATTAAGAATCAATTCAAATCCCGGTTGAGCCTCCAAAATGTGGTCTCCAATATTTCCGTAGTGTCGAAAACAACCAAGAGACGACGTAGTATTATTATGTTTAATAGTTTTTAATATTATAGGTTTATTTAGATGTAATAACAATGTTTGTTTGTGTGTGTGTATGTTTGTGTAATTATTATATATAAGTACTTTAATGAATAACTTTATATATGTATGTAACTAGGCTTCACTGATACGTGCGTAGCTCACTAGATTCTGGCACCGACTGACTAATTGCTCGTTCTCTTTTAGCATTGTGCTCTCTCGGCTCTCGTCGTTTAGTAACGACGGCCACTTCGCGTTGCACGTTCGGCTGCTTGCTCTTCTGGAACTTTCCCAATTCCTACACTAATAACAACTCTTGTAATGATTCTGAAAGTGCTGAATTATTTGCAAAATTTTTCCAGTCGACGTACTCCTCTGAGTCTTTTAACTGTAATTCTTACCCCTTCCGCGCTATGCCCTCAAATTCTATATTTGCTTCAATAATTATAGATTCATGTATTTTATCTAATATACAATCTGTAAAAGCTTCATTCTCTCCCGGGCCTGACAACATTCCTAGTTGTGTGCTGAAAGAGTGTAGTACTTCCCTCTGCAAACCGTTGCTTAAGCTTTTTAATATGTCCCTTGAGAGCGGAATCTTTCCTGCTTCTTGGAAAGAATCGTTCATTACCACATTACCACTCCACAAAAAGGGCTGTAAGTCAGACATGTCCAACTATAGAGGCATTGCTAAACTTTCTGCTATTCCTAAATTATTTGAAAAAATAATTACTCTGCTCAGCATGGATTTTTTTAAAAATCGGTCAACAACGACTAATCTGCTTGAATTTACATCTTTGTTAAATGATGCATTCCTAGCAAAGATGCAAGCTGATGTTATATATACTGACTTCAGCAAAGCATTTGCTTCTGTGAATCACGACCTCCTCCTCTTGAAGCTAACTTGTATGGGATTTCTCTCAAACTTTTTGAAATGGATTTCTTGGTACCTAAAAAATAGGATACAGAAGGTACTACTCAGGTCGAATACTTCTAAACCTGTTCTCGTATCTTCTGGTGTACCTCAAGGTAGTCATCTTGGCCCCCTATTATTCACTCTGTTTATTAATGACCTTCCGTCTATCCTGCTGCACTCCCGTATACTAATGTATGCCGATGATGTGTATCTAATTTTTTCGTATAAAGATCCTCTTTACCATTCTCGTCTGCAGTACGATCTAAGCTGTTTTCAACGGTGGTTCTTGGTCAACCACCTGCACCTTAACTGTTCTAAATGCAAGTTAATGACTTTTCGCCGGTCCAGACCATATCTAAGTACTTATGCGATTGACAATATACCATTGCAACGTATATTTACAGCTGAAGATCTTGGAGTTCTTTTTGATCCCAAATTGAATTTCAATATTCAAATCTCCACTATCGTTAACAAAGCTAAGGGTGTTCTTGGTTGTATTAAACGATGGTCCAGAGAATTTAACGACCCCTACACCACCAAGTTACTGTACAGTTCTCTAGTACGGCCAGTGCTAGAATACTGCTCATGTGTTTGGTGCCCTCAGTATAAATTGTATCAAGAGACTTCTTCTCCTTATTAACGTCCCTTCTTTAGCTCACCGTAGAATAGTTCTTAGTGTTCTCTTCCTCCACAAATTAATTGTCGGAGATGTTGATTTCTCTATGCTTTTAGGTCATATCAATTTTTCGGTTCCTTCTAGGGGCCACCAAGGAACTTTCTTCCTCTTCAACTTAACAGGTGCACTAGTGATTACGCCATGCACAATCCTTTTCGAGTATTATGCGCTAATTATAATACTTTTCACTTTTTAATCTCAAGTGAGCTCTCTCTCCCTTCACTAAAATCTTCTATTTTCAGCTACCTCCGACAGAATCACTGATCACCACTGCTGTGTGTAGGGGCATAGCTTGCCGGACTGGCTAATAAATTTCCCCCAACGGGTCAGTGATTCTTCACCTTTAAATTTTAACAAAAACTATTGATTGAGTTAAATTAGAGGAAATGAAACCGTTAGCGACCGTTACGATTAATAACACTAACCACATAGCATTACTGAATCAAACTTAACTTCCATCATGTCACCGGTCATATTTCATTAACATTAATAGGGATTGGTATAATAACAGTAGTCATTCTATACATGATAAACAACAATTTAAACAAAAAAAGAAACCGATTTCAAACTATTAACCGGCACTAAAAAGTAGAAAATAATTGCGTATTCTTCTACAACTTAATATTCAATATATAATGTAGATACAATTATTGTTATTTTTGGAGTCGGTGTCAGCGGTCGCGCGCCGCGCCAGTCAAGAGAAAGAGGCCCTTCATTACGAACCATTTCAGATTCTTTTCTCTTTCTATATCTACTTTGTCATTCTTACGGTAATTCCTTGTTTAATGTTGACTATATTTTCGTATCAGCATTTCCTTGATTACCCGTATGTCTCAGCATAGTGTCGTATTAAAATTCGTTTGATTCGTTTAACTAGGTACCGGTTTATTTGTTGTTTCAAGGTAGCAGATATTGTCACAGTGGTTATACGTGTATTGTCGTATAAAAGTTAATTTGAAATTGGGTTTAATTAAGTATTGGTAATCTGTCACAGTATATTGTCGTTCGTATAAAAGTTAATTTGTAAAAAAAGTATTTCTTAAAGTATTCTCATATTATTACTGGTAGATTGATTGATATATTGTAGTGTTTCCTTGGCTGACACCGTCTCCAAAAATAACAATAATTGTATCTACATTATATATTGAATATTAAGTTGTAGAAGAATACGCAATTATTTTTTACTTTTTAGTGCCTGTTAATAGTTTGAAATCGGTTTCTTTTTTTGTTTAAATTGTTGTTTATTTTTGGATTTTTAGTGAATGTGAAGTACACGGTTAGATTTTTTCGACGGCATTATACTGAAATTGAAATTCTATTTCACATGATATCTCATTTAAATTTGACACTCATCTACCGGGTGCCTTCGCATGATATCTAAAACCCATGAACATTTTCTATGTTTTAAGAATTATATGGATTTCTCATCGATGCCTTTGTCAGAACTGGACTAAATTTATATGGGACCATTCTGGAAGCACCAGCTTTCAAATGGTATAAGAACCATTAAAAACAGTTCTCCCAGTCGAGTGTACCGAGGTAACAAACAAAAAACAAAAAATACAGACGAATTGATAACCTCCTCTTTTTTGAAATCGGTTAAAAAGGAAATGTAACACAGAACTAGCAATTAGGGTCGATTTTGGAACACCCTTTAAACCATCTGAGCTAGATTCATTAGAAGCATAATAAGCATCAATAAGCATTACGGCACGTCGTAAGATGTTCACAAAGGTGAACATAGTCTTAGTCGCCAGCTACTATAAGGTTTGCCCTGTGCAAGATGTTCACAAAAGTGATCTAAAAATAACCGCATGCAGCAGTGCTACAGACCAAGGCATAGTAGGTAACAAGAAATGCATAGGCAAATAGGACCGCTATAGCGTTTTAGAGTGGGTGCACACTGCATTTAAGAAAGGCTTCGAATATAAGTACATATGGAGGGGAAAACCACTTGACACCGTTAGGATAGAATAAGGCAAAAAATGTAAAATTAGAGAAAGTACAATGATTTGAGAATAAGAAAGAGCCAAATATTAATCAAAAATTGTACAAGTATAATTAGTGAAGTAATTTCATAAAATAAACTAGAATGAATTTGGAAATTGAAGCAGTAGTTTGTTTCCTTTTTGTTCTCCCAGAGCGGTCTGCAACTAAAATATAGTCGGCAACCTCTGTTCGTGAATAGGTCGCGCGCTGTATAATGTGCACCTTTTTACAACAATAATATAGCAGAACTGCAAAAAACATCGAGACTGCTTTGCTTTATTGACGATAACACAAAATATTGCAAAAACTTACAGCTGAAACGAACAGTACGGAATCTAGAAATATTAAGTAATATAAAAAAAAAGTTTCATTGTGCGGAACGACGCGGAACATGACTTTAGTTGAAATGTAACTATTTGTTTAAATGCAACACTAACAAAAGCACTAGGAAAAATTAATCTTTATGACAAAATCACAACAAGGTTGAACATAAAAATATGTTAGACATATACCACTTTTTTGATATTCAATTTAATTCGCGGAAATAGTTATTAATTTAATAATTTAATTTTTGAATCACGACTTCACTTTGGAGTCTCTCACACTGCAAATTCAACCTGTCAAAATGCTCTCTTTTTTGAAATTATTTGAAGAATAACTAATCGAAACACAAATGCAGCGAACAAGAATAAAGTAATAAAATAGGTACGCCCTTCCATTGTGGTACATTGTTTCCCCACCCAATTTACTAAACATAAACAACGATTGTTCCTAATGCGATTCAATCAAAATATGTACATTGCCTCCACCTCTTCTTACTAACTGGTGTTATGCCAACTATTCAATCAAAAATTCGCTGGCACAATTAAAGTCAACAACATTCGCTGCTAACACCGGTAAGGTCACAACTTCGCTTCCAGAAAGAACCACCTGTCCATTTTGGCAATGTTTATTTCCTTATCCTGTGCACCATTCGAGTTAAGTTATTTTTAAATATAACGCTTTGGAAGGAATTGCGTACTATGTATTTTTTGTAAAGACCCAGTCAACATAAGTAAACCATGAAGATTTTTCCTTCAGAATCGTACACTACCTGAATATCTTACACCAAACGCATTACCTAAGTAAAGGGTATCCTAAAGCCGACCATTAGTCAGTTGACCGAATAAGCATTCAGTTTTGTTCTTTATTCAATGTACAGCAGTCTTTTTTTTTCCCTGAAATCATGCACGCCAACATGCATACTGTTCTGGTTATTTTTTTACTATTAGTACTTATTTAACTTCCAAATACTCCGCAGCGCATTGTGAGCTACTTATCATGTTTAAACATGACTTTACACCGATTCTTAAGCCGTTTATGGATAAATTATGGGATGATAAAAAAAAAGCTTTAAAAGCTTTAGATTATTTCACATTTTTGGATGAGGAGCAGGTATGTAATAAAGTTATATATTTATATATTTATATTTATATAGGCAATGTATCAAAAAACATTCTCTCTATCACAGGTTGTAAGTGCTTGCAGAGTTGGTACATTAAAACAGTTCGAACCTTTGGAGACTATATATTCAGAGGACAAAGGGTCATTGACAAACGTCCATTTTGTACTAAGTGGGGAGTGTGTTATATTACAGTGCATCAATATGAAGGTTTGTAATAAAAAAAATACATACAGTTATTGACAACTAATTGGAAACAAATGCATTGGGTGTGATTTTCTTAATTATACTCTGTACATGAAATGTACAAGAGTATATTAGGTTTGCGGGAGGTGAAAAATGTAACAGGCAGAAGGAGGCGTGGCAGACCATACAAAGTATATACAAGTATATATTTTTGACCAGCATGACAACGTCGACTCGTCAGTCGATCCATGTCCGTCCGTCCATTTCAATATGATAGACAGATTTAGCAGGAAGTTACAGCCATAAATATATTTGCTACTCAAGCGCTGCCCGCAACTGTTGTTGATGTTGGTGCCTTGGTTTATTGCAAACATGTTCACACAGACACGAATAGACGCGCATAGACATATATACACTCACATATACGCAATTGCTTTTTAAATGTGTAATTATTCACCATTTACGTGAGTTCGAATATCGAGAGAGGTAAAAGCGATCAAAATTTTTTTTTAATTTTCCTAATTTTTATAGCCCAAAGGGTAAAAGGCTATACTAGTTTTGTGCGAATGTATTGGGTTTACACAAATGTATTTTATTCAGTATATTTTCAAAGTGCTTTAATTATTTAACGATAATATTAGTATTTAAGTTTACGTTTACAAAAAGGTTTACTTTAGTTTATTGTATGAAAGATGCACACAACACACGATTACTATAAAACTCAACTTGACGCCTTAACGGACGTATAACACAACACTCTCCCTTGAACGACGAACAACGAGTGCAGTTCACTTGTGTCGACAATCCTATCGAAGGGTAATATCGATTACCATTCTCTTACTACCCTGTACACTACAACTCCCATCTCCTGCCTATCCTACATTCGGCCTTCCTGATCCTTTGTTCGTCCCGAACAATTCCCACTTTTTCATAAACTCTGCCGCTGTTGTAGTACAGTTGGGTCCCTCCTGTTTGCCTACTTTCTGTACCTCATATCTTCCATGATTCATTTTCTTTACAACTTTATAAGGTCCAAAAAATTTCGGGCGTAATTTCATGTTCGTTCCGTACTGTGTCCTTTTGATGGCAACTAAATCACCAATATTATAAACTGTTTCGACTGTTCTTTTCTTATTAAAACTTTTCTTATTTTCTTTCTGGATCTGTTCGATATTTCCTTGTGCTATTTTTCTTATTTCTTCACGATCTTCCTGAAGCTCTTCAATATCTATGTCCTCAAGCAATGTTCTAAAATCTTTATCTTTTGTTTTCATATCAACTCCAATGAGTATTTTAAACGTGGTATATTTTGTGCTTCGTGGTACTGTATTATTTAATATTTGCTGCACCTTATCCACCTGTGTATACCAATTTGCTGGATTGTTCTGACATAATTTGTTTAACATGGGTATGACGATTTTGTGTACACGTTCCACTTGACCGTTTCCTCGTGTCATACCGGTTGCTATATGTAAAAGTTGAATTCCCTCGTCAAGGCAATATTCAGAAACCGCGTTTGAAGTAAATGCGGACCCCCTGTCTGCAACAATTCGCCTGGGATTCCCGAATACCGATGCTTGTTTTCTCAGCCTATCAAGAACTTCATCTGTCCCTGTTGATTTGGTAGGGTAAAGCCACACAAATTTTGAGAAACCATCAATAACTGCCATTATGTGATTATATATATATCTTTTTCGTGTCCGTAAGAGGACCATCATGATCAATATGAAAGGTTCCTAGTGGATCTTGGGCTTTGTCTATTGGCGTTAGCAAACCCTCTTTTTTTACCACGTTTAGCTTCTGCGATCAAACATTCCACACAACTGTTTACTATTTTTTCAATTTTTGGCTGGATCCCATGTATATAGTATGGTTTCTCAAGAATATCTCTAGCCTTTTTAACACCGAAATGACCTTCTCTGTGTGCAATGCTTATAATTTCATCCTGCATTACTTCTGGCACAACCAACAATTCTTTGTTTGCATCTTTGTATAAGATGTCGTTCCGCACAAAAAAGTCTTCATACACGTCAGAGTTCCTCAATACAGTTTTTATAGCTTTCACCCAATGGTCTTTATCCTAGGCCTCTTTTAATCTATATTTTGTAGAATCCTCAATGAAAAGACACGACAGCCGACTGAGAGCATCTACGTGCCTCATTTGACTGCCCAACCTATGCTCTATTTCGTACTTGAACTCCTGCAAAAATAGCGCTCATCTTGGTACTCTAGTAGGTACGTCTTCTTTTTTTAATGTCATAGCGAATGCGTTACAGTCCGTAACAATTTTAAACTTTAAACCAAGGAGGTATACCCGCCACTTCCTAATAGCATTAACTATTGCTAGGACTTCAAGTTCATATGAGCTATATTTCTCTTCACTTTGTGTTGTTTTATGGCTCATATACTCAATTGGATGGAACAACTGGTCCTCTGGGTGTTTTTGCATTAAAGCTCCCCCGAACCCATTTTTGCTGGCATCGGTGTGTACCTCGGTATCCGCGGATGGATCATACAGCCTTAAAATTGGTGCCTTAACTATCAACTGTTTAAGATATTCAAAAGCTATCACACCATCTTCCTTTAATTCGATGAATTTACTATCTTGCGTATGTGTCTTCCTAAGTAGGTCTGTCAATGGCTTTGCCTCTAGAGCATAGTTTCTAATAAATCGGCGTAAATAGGATGTAAGCCCTAAGAATCGTTGCAACGCTTGCCTAGTTTTTGGAACAGGATAATCCACTCCTGCCTGCACTTTATCTTCGGTTGGTGATATTGCCCCATTCTCAACTACATACCCCAAAAACTGTATGTTTCTTTTCAAGATTTGAGCTTTCTTCCACTTAATACGCAAACCAGCTTTTGTTGCCACTTGTAAAAACTTTTTAAAGTGATCAATTCCTTGCTCCACACTTTGTGTTGGAATGACAATGTCGTCCATATGCACGATGATTTTCTTTGATTGAATCAAGTTCCTTAATACAGCACTGATGTAACGACAAAACACTGCTGGCGAATTTGAGATACCAAAAGGAACATGAGTAAACTCATATTGCCCATTATGGGTCACAAAGAAAGTAAACTTTCTGGAACCCTCTTCGATTGGCACATGAAAAAATCCGTTCATTAGATCCAGAGTTGTAAATATTTTTGACCCCTGCAGTTGTTCAAGCACGTCGTCTATTAATGTCATAGGAAAATTGTCCTTTTTTATTTTTCTATTTAGCCTCCTAAAGTCACAACAAAATCTCTTCGAGCCGTCTTTCTTTGACACCAGTACCACTGGAGAAGAGTAGTCTGACGAACTCGGTACCACGATCCCTTGGTCTAACCATTCCTGAAGTTGCTTTTCTATAAAGCACTTATTTTCATATGAAGTTCTCCGTGGATGTTGGAATATAGGCACGTCATCTTCCAAAATAATTTTCATTTCAACTGGTGATTTGATTACCTTCTTCGGAGCATACTGGGCTATTAAGGTCTCTACTTCCTTTCTCTGCAATTTGGTAAATGATTTAAATCGACTTTAGCTTCATTAGATTTGTCAGTTAGAGCTTCCTGAACACACATCCCTTTGAATGGCTCAACCCATTCCTCTGTTTTGCATAAAAAAAGAATAACATGTCAACTGACCCAAGTACATTATTCCCTATAATAGCTGTATATTCCAAGTCCTTTTGTTTGATGACGTTAAAGGTAACTCTGAAACATACGTTGTCTATTTTTATGCTGGTTTCGAACTCTCCCACGGTTACAATCACGCCTTTTCCTATGCCTCTCAACTGTCGTGAATTTCTTTTTAGACGCACATCATTTAGTTTTTCAAATAAATCCTCTCTAATAATGCATAGGTCACACCCTGTGTCAATTAAAGCTTGAAACTCAAAGCCAGCAATGACGCATTTTTTATAAATTAGGCCTGTCTTTTCATTCCCAACTTTCAACATAGCTGCTTGTTGATTTCTTGTACTATCCTGTTTTTGTTGGCACTGTTTTGCCAAATGCCCCGTTTTGTTACAAATAAAGCACACCATTGGCTCGCTACAATTTTTTGCAATGTGGCCTTCTGTGTTGCAACGAAAACAGCGCTTGCTTCCCTGGATTTGGTTTCGCTTTGGTATATCCTCTTTGCCTTTCTTCACAAAATTCGTTCCCTCTTTAATTGAAAATTTGTCTTTGTTTAGGCTTATTTTCTCAAACACTTCTATTTCCGATTTTAGTTCATTTATTGTTCTAGCACGATATAAACATGACTTGTTGATTCGACTATCCTGTATTCCATCTATGAAATAGTTCACTAAGCTTTCCTCATCTAGACTTATTGGCTTTCCTATTTCTATAAAACTGTATAAGTATTCCATCAAAGTTTCAGTATTATGTTTCTGTCTACGTCTTAATAACTTGTGCACATCTGCTGCGCACATTTGCTTTCCAAACTCCTCCTTCAACATTGCCTGCAGTTTATGCCAACTGCGCACACCTGTCAGCCCTCTAGCATATATTTTTGCAGCTCCACTTAACAATTGTTTAGCGTACACAAATTTCTGCAATTTCCACCCAACAGTGATCGCAACATCCTCAAATTCACATAACCATTGATTAATGTCAAGCTGAGCCGTACCCGAGAATGAAGAGATACTGTTTTGTACATCTCGCAATGTAAAGCGCGAACAGCTGATCCCTACATCATCGCGAGCGGCTTCAAACACATCCTGAAGAACTATTGTCGTTTACTACTTCATATGCCTCTTCTTCTTCTTCTTCTTGTACATCTAAATGGAAATGTTCTAAGAGCCTATCTTGTAGTATGCTTTTCCTGCCAGTTGTGCTTAACCCCAGCTCGTTAAGCTTTTGCTTAAGGCATTGCACATTCAATGCCAAAATTGATTTTGCGTCCATGTTGGTGCAAGTTTCACTCAATATTACAACAATAATGCAAACAACTAACAACGATCTTAACGTCTATAGTTAGTAAAGAAAATTTTTGTTGTAGCTAATAAAAATAGTAGGCAGTTTGGTTTCAA